TCGTCCTCCCCCAGCACCTGGTTAAACTTCTTCATGAAGTCCTGGGCCTTCCCTGGGTCCGGCAGGTTCTCTGGGAGAAACAACACGCTTCCTAATGAACAACCGGAAAGCTCAGAAAGGAGTCCGTCGGTAGTCTTCTTGCTTTTGCCCAGAAGACAAAAGGGAAAGGGATGCAGAAACACTGGAGCCCTGGGAGGAAAAACCTCTCCTGGGAAGTGAATCAGATTCACAAAAGTGAGAGGAATTCTGCACCGCCTCAGTGGCAGCTACTGGCAGTACTTCACATGGGACAAAGTAATGCTCAGGTTTTGTCTTAGAATTTGTCACCCGAGATCAGACCTGAGCAGCAAACTAGAAAAAAGTGTGGCTCGCCTGATGTCCACAGATCGATTAGCTATTAACAACGAAACGAGCAAGAAGGGTCAAACAGCCTTCTCGTATTACCCAGCACTCACGTCGGAGTAAAACAGAAATAAATATCCCAGGGTCAGAAATCATGCAATCAATTCCTGAAATCAAGCAGTAACTATCTGACAATGCTCAAGGAAAAAGGTGGAGCATCAGAGAGTGTGGAAGCCTTTCTATAAATTTCTATAAATTCTGTGACTATGACAATGTTAAGTTTTGATACTGAATCAGAGGATGGTCATCACTCTCTTCTCCTAGTTCCACCTTCTAATGAGTACACATTATAACAGCTACCTGAGCCTGTAAGCAATGCCATAGCAACTAACACTTGTATCATAAGGGATTATAGTTGATTATTTAAGTGATTCCAACTTTTTCCCCCTCAGTGTAGTTACAGAACAGGAGAAAACTGAAAAGACTGTTTTAAGTAATAGGTAATTAAAGACAAAGCAAATGCCTTCTGGAAAACAGAATTTTAACTTAAGCTACAAACAAGACTTTGTAAGCACAGCTCCTGACGTCTCATTAGAGATGCGTGTATTAACATTTTTCTAAACAGTAATATGAAAATATAGTTGTGCGTTTCTCTACTGAGTGGCCTTTCCCCTCAATCTAACACGCTTACAAAGCACCAACACTTTAGGGTACCCGAGGGAGGAAAGGTGTGTCTCACTGATGCCGATATGAGCTCACAGACACCTGCCAAGCAACGGGTGAATGCTGTGCTGTAAGCTGCGTACATCATGGCCGAATCCAGCCTCTCCTGCCTCCTGGTACACTATGTGAATCTCAGGGACTAGTGGCAATGCATTCCTTATCCTCTATCAGTACAAGTTGAGAAAAGTGTCAGCGAGAGAAACGAAGAACACCCTTACTTGCTATTGTCATCAGCTTCCCAAACATGGCAGAACTGTTTGCTTCCGACTGCAGAAGGAAGAGAAGACAGCTTTAGAGATAAATCTTATTTAATTCTAACTGTCATTGACAACTTTGGGGGGTGGGGAATGGAAAGATCACATTGGAAGTGGGTTTTTTTTAATCGCAATTTCATTTGCAGGCTTCCTGTGCTGCACCACCAGGACCTACCAGCCGATGCTGTCAATCTGTGTTGCCTCAGAGCGAAGGTATCAGCTTCTTCCCCTCTTGGAAAATATACTGTTTCCTACAAGTACTAATTTATCTAGCTGATGCTTTTATCCAAGGCAATTTCGATTGTGCCAATTTTTTCTGCCGGGAATTTTACTGGCACGATTCAAGTGAAGTATCTTGGTCAAGAGTACAACAGCAGTGCGTGACCTGCGATTCGAACCCACAACCTTCCAGTTATGAGTCCAGGACCCTGACCATTGCCCCACACTGCTGCTTCCTCCGCAGACCATGAGCAACACAGATTCTGGAGGACGTGAGGTGACCCTTCAATGCTTCGTGTCCTCTTACCGGAGAAAACAGCTCAGCGTATAAGAGCTGAGTGCACCTGGAAGAGGAGGTTCTGTGGCAACACCCAGGTACCTGGGAAGGTTATTTTACAGGTTTTTTTTTTTTTAAGTGTCATCGCTAAGACAAAGACCACCTCACACCCCTACCGTCCTCTCTGTGTCGGGGGGGGGTGCTTCTGCAGGAAACAAAGAGGGAAAGAAGCTGAGATTCCACAGTTTTGTGCGATGGGAGACAATTCCGGGGCTTAAGCAGCATGTGAGCTCTGTGTACCATGCAGGTCTTCGCCACTGTACAGAACGTGGAGCTCTGTTAGACCAACACGCCAGGCCAGCCAATGGATGGATGTGGATGGAAGATGCGGGATGAGAATTTCATCCAGTGGTGGAACACATGCTTTGCGAGGATGAGACCCCAGGCTCAATCTCTAAGGAGCTTTCCGAGACGAGTGTTAAACTCATAAGGACCGGGAAACAGGTGCAAAGTCGGCTTACGGTCGGCTGCTTATGTAGGTCCAGAAGCTCCCGAACGTGACTCCTCAGCATGTTTTGGCATTTCCACATTTCATTCAGTGCCCTGTGAAGCAGAATGAAAAGCAGTGAGAACCCCCGCTGTTGCGCCTCACGAGCCCCCCCGTGTGGTAACTGCTGAGGGTCACGTCGAGAGCACTGACTTGACTGCGTTGGGGTCCAGGCTGGCGTACAGGTAGTACAGACACTTCATCTTCTCCTCCGTCTCCAGGTTGTGGGGGACCATGTACTGGGCGAAGATCTTTTCAACCAGCAACCTGACAGGAAGACGGCCAAAACAAAAACGTTTCACTCAGACATCTAACAGCTTCTTCTTTCTATGCTTCATTCTTTTGCCGAGCACCCTTGGTCCTGTCGACAATATCCAGCCACTTTTAAGAATTCATTTCCAATTACATGTTCATGCAAATATTCCCAACATTACAGTCACATCCATAAAAGGAACAAAATGCTGTCTTTGACCCATTTAAAGCTCTCTTATTGAGCTTGCCAAGTCAACTCAAGTGTAAGAGTTCAACCTGAGAACCCCATCACACAGCTCTTGACACAACTTCACTCCACTTTGTTCACTACACTTTCTCTTGGGCTCTAATATTTGTCAGTGTTTTTAAAAAAGACCATTAGGTAAGATTTCACAGTCTGTGAAATGCAGTTCAATCTCCGTTTAAACTATTGAGCCCAAGAGCCAGAGTTTCAGCCAGCTTTGGAGCTCTATTAGCTTAAGCTAAAAACTAGGAAGTTGATGAAAAGATCCATGAGGTTAAACCAATGACCTGTAAATTTCTTCAAAATATGGCGCAAGCAATAAAATCAAGAAGAATTTGGAAGTCGGTTTTCTCCCCTGAATCTAGAATAGAAATTAATTATGTACATTTATTTCAAACCACCTGCCAAATGTGGAACCATCAACTGTTAATACACGTGCCTTAATGCTGTGACCTATATACAACTACAGGGGATGTCTTCAGAGACGACTTGTCAGGTCTCTTTACACTGCAATGCCCACAGTGCCAACAGCAGAGCTAGGGCACTGTAAGCCAAAAATATCCTTGATGAGCCGCCCAAACCCAGTGGCTC